TTGAAGACTGCAAATTTACTATTACTCAAATATGTAAAATATGTCAATACAGCATAACAGATTCTGAGGAATTTAATTTACTATTTGATAGAGATCCTCTCGACATCAGCAGCCTTGGTGACGCATGATTAGTTATTTTATTTAATATGCACGGATAATACAATTATAGTTAATAAGTAACAGTTCGACTGACAACAGTCTAATGTCTAATGCGACTAAAAATCCACTGGAATTTTTTGGGCAATATTCCCGATGTGCCAAAAAATATCCGGCAGTGGCAATATTCCCAGATGTACATATATCACTAGTCGGGCCCCAAGAATGTGCGAAAATCATCATAGTACGGTTAAATCAAATCAAAATTATTTATTCAGTCAAGGTTTTTACAAGCACTTATGAAAGTCGAGAGCTACACTATCGGTTCATAAATCTACGGATGAGACCTTGTACCGAGAAGAACCGGCAGGAAACTCGGCAAGGACTGCTTTTTTCTTCCTATTTTATTTCATACAGAGCGTCAAGATTGAAAATGACTTCATTAAAATATGAAGTCATTTTCCATTACAATATTAAAAAATAAATAAAACAGTATTTTTGTGAATCGAAACACATGTCTAGTCAAAAAAACAAGCTTCACAAGAACATCTTTTAATTTATACGCATCAGGCTACGATGGAGCGAATATGTTTTCAACGTCTCTAAATGAAATAAGAATGAATGAAATCATAATATCGCAGAGCAGAATGGTAAATATATAGTCCAGCCTCACGACGTGATGCGGTGGCCTCCGTCCTTTTTTGAGATGATGGGAAATGCGAGCAGGATAATGTAAGATCCGCCCCTAGAAAGGGGCTAGTCCAAATGCTAGAGCATATTTCAGTACCTACAACCCACCGTTGATCCTCTGGCGAGCGATGCATGATAATAGCCGAGGCCTCTTACTGCTTGTTCGCCCCCGTTTCGGCCCACACATTGCAAGACGGGTCTCACTGGGGGCAGGGATACGACTCAAAGACATTTGCCCCCTTCCTTCCAGGACGTGCAAAGCGCAGGGGAGATGTTATTGTGCAATTTTCCGTCCTAACCTTATTGGAGGACCCCACCTGGGTTTCTACTGCCTCGTGGTGTTGAGTTTCATGATCATAAAGTTAGAAACTCTTACCTGACCTCTTTATATTATGAGTATAGATTGAACACACCTTGACATTAACCTCTAAGTTTTATTATTATTATTATATGTATCTCTGTCTACCAAAGCCCGCGCCATATCTGTTAAGGAAACGAGTTTCAATTTAATTTGCATATAAAGTTTTCTAATATTTGAGTACTACCTTAATCTACAACGAACTCGCAAAGTTATAAGTCAAAACCACAGGTTGTTTAATAACATACAAATTTATATTCTACGTGGTTTACAATAAAGCTCGTACAATTTGCAGTAAAATGTTTGGTTATATAGATTTCTTCAAGGCACCAAATACTAAACACCTGCCTGCCTTATTGTAAGTAGGGGAAGGTGGCCTTAAACGGGTAAGCTAAGCGAGAAGGTAAAAAAAACTGTCAAATTCACTTGAATCCTTAACTTAATTTACATTAATACAAAGGTTATTTATCAAAGTACAAAATAAAATACCAACTGATTTTATTTTAATGAAACATATTTATTTTGTATGAAAAATACAAAAGGTCTCCAAAAACCCGTTTTGCCCGCATATTGGCCAAAAACGGGTAACCCCCTCTGGGCAAAACAGGTAAGCTTAGGGCAAAACAAGCACACTTTTTTTTCTAAACGGTTATACCTTCTTAATGACTTAACATAGTATGACAATAACAAAATCAACTATTAAATTCTATTTTCATCACAAAACTTAAGTAACAAATTATTATAAGCTTTTATTTCTTACTTTTTAAGCAGCCTTTATGTTTGGCTTAAGTTTAAGATAAGATTCGGTAATTTAAGGAACCTAAATGTAATTATAGTCTCATAGAATCCTTCTTTAGTCTTATTTTGAAAATCTATATCAATTTATGAAATATAAGTTCAAAATAATAACAAACATTTAAATCAACTATATCTACCGTAACAAGTATATAGATCCATATCGAACATCGTTACTTAAGTCTTCATTCTTGACATAAATCGCAAAAATATGAGTCTACACCTGAGTAAAAAGTACATGCTTCGTGGGACGTGGGCCCATTCCTGTGGCGAAACTACAGGGTGGGAAGTCGGCAAAATGCCACGGGCCTCCTGCTGGAAGGGGCCCCAGGTCATAGGAGAATCCTTACTCCTGACATTTATTATTATAAAATTAGTTAAAAAATACAGAATATCCGATGAATTTGCCACGGGCCTCCAACGGTATAGTTACGCCACTGGCCCATTCATTACAATCACCATATGGATCCAGTCTTCCACAGGTGGACAAATATGGATTACCACAAGCAAAACAATAATACTTAATTTGTTGCTTCTTTTGTTGTTTTTTTCATTAACTTTCTTTGTTTGACTAGTAGCTGATTTATTATTGCCGTTTTTCTTTTTTCCAATCGATACCTTAATTTGTTTCTTTTTCTTGTTTTTTATTTTCTTTCTCTCTTGCTTCATTTTTGTTGTTCTTTCATAAGTGTACTGGTTTTAACTTCAGTTTTTTTGGGCTTAGTGTTGGTAAAGGTCTTTTTCTGCAAGCTCAACGTGAGGAGTGAGGACGTGAGGAGAAGATACTGGACGAAGTAAAGTAGCATTCACTGGTGTAGCAAACGTACCCATTTTGCCCTACCCGTTTTGCCCAAGAGTATCTTGCTTAGTTAAATAATAATAACCCCGAAATCGATATTGATACAACAAAATAAATTGTGGGATTCTACAGTCAGATAGAGGTAAATTAAAATGTCAATAACAACAATCCAATAATTATAAACATTTTCGAGTAATTTAAAGAGACTTACCTTGCTTTTTTCTAACAAAACTACCAAAAAACTTTCGATACGCACACCTGCGCTATGACGCGACTTTAGCGCCCTAGCGGAACTGATTGAAGATATTCGGTTGGTGACAACTCTCGGCACACATACACATCAACACTCAAGTATGACGTAGAAGCGTACAACTACCTACCCGTTTTAGGCGGGCCACCCTTTTTAGGCTAGTTTCCCCTAGGTAGCATCTTTTTCAAAGCAAGTCGGATTCGCGCCAAACCACTAATTCTTACCAATCTATACTAATATTATAAAGAGGAAAGATTTGATTCTTTTGTTTGTACATTTGTTTGTTTGCATCGAATAGGCTCCGAAATTACTGACATATTTAAATTTTTTTACTGACATTTTGTATTTCTGGGTCTTTGACCAACTTCATATCATGCATTTCATATTCTTTCCAATAAGTAATTTTTTGTTGAACATATCTTAATAATTTAAGTGACTCATACATTTTTTATTACTACCAACTGAGTTTCTAAGGAGTATACATTTTTTACCATATAAGGCGACGTTACGATAGTGAATATTTGCTTCTATATGCCTATATTGTTTCAAAGGGTAATCATTTTATTAAACCTTAATTTTTTAAAAATAAAAAAATTATTTGATTAAACCTCTAACGCAGGATGGTGCTTTCTACACTGAGTCCGACGTTGTATTTTTACAAAACGGCAAAGCTTCTTCTTCTTCTTAATGTCACTCCTATCGGATGTTGGACAGCATCTTGGCTATATTTGAGGCTGCTGCTCGGAACAGGGACATAGTGCTCCATCCTAAGAAATCCCTTAAATTGTTAACTCAGGAATGTCCTTCTTTCAACACTGCGTTTTGCCCATATTTTTTTCCGGCAAAGCTTAGAAATGTAATGATATCTTTCTTCCGTTCAGCGGCTCTACCATAAACTCTAACATTGATTGAAAATGATCTGACCTACTTTTAGCAGACCAGTCAGGATTTAATTTAAGATTGAAAAAGTAAAGTCCATGTTCTCTATAAAAAAAAAGTTAAACGTGTAGAAAAGCTCTTGTCGTCATTCTTGGTGGTAATTTTTTCTTAGTGCCTACCGTTTCTTGTTACTAGTTCAATATTACTCAAGGTATGAATGTAGTACTTCTCTACTTACTTATACTTTAAATACGATTTGGCTTCTGTAAAAAATATAATTATCTTTTCTTCTTTAATAGGTTTCCACCGTTCTGAGAAACGATAGCTTAGTTTTCAGATATTTTTTTAGATGTAATTTGAAAGAAGCTTTCATATTTATACATATGTAATAAATATTAAGCACCTTAAGTTGTGGGTTTTATTCAGCTTTTATTATCAAAACATTTAACTAGGTATTTTAAATACCTGGTTTATTTTATACTTAAAATTAAAATTATTCCTGTTGTTAAAATGGCGATTTCATTGCGCTATATTGACTAATACGTTACATATACATTCCTACTTATATCTGATGGCGAGATGCCATCTAACGCCTACCAGCTTTTAAGATTTTTTGACCTTATTTTCCTGTGTGAATTTCGAAAACGAGTTCGCGAAGTTGTTTACTAACAAATTCGAAGTAACCTTCGATGAGAAAGAGACGGATTGATTTAAAAATTTTAAGTGTGAATGAGACTTGTTCAACTGACCGTCTGTGTGCGTATTTTATGTAGATTTTTTAAATGTATGTTATTAATATTTACATAGTGAGAAAAATGAAAAACTTTAGTCTGCCGAGACAGTAGTTATAGAGAGCTTCTGCTCGTTCATTATATTTTTAGTAGCTTAAGTTCGAAAGTAATTTGATTTAAAAATAGTTTTTCGGAAGCTAAAAAAGTTATAATAACAAAAACATCACGTAAAGGCATATTGTGAAATTAAGCTATAATTTAAAACAAACCGAGTGTTCTTTGCGAAAAAGTTAACAACAAGTCCAGTGGTTTAGGCTATTTAAAGAAAAAAAGAAAGCAGTTCAAAAGATCTAGTGCAGTGCAATTAATTCAAAATAATTAACACAGATTTTGTGAGACAAAATGCAAAACGCTGCAGCTACTCAACCGGGCATGCTCAAAAGTACTGATAATGTGACTCCCCAACAAGCAACTAGTACCGCACAAACAAATAATGCTGGCCAAGTTGGCAAACCTGGTGCTTTGAACAAAAACCTCCTTGCAGCATTCCAAGGACCTGAACAGAAAAATGATCAGGTGAATCAATCTAATAAGCCCCAACCAGCGCCGAAAATAAGTATAACAACATCTCAACCAAATTCTGATCAAAAAACACAAGTCAACAATATTATTACCCATCAACCCGTAACTACTACCTCACCACCTAATAATCCATCTCAAGCCAACAAGCCTCAACCACTGCCCAAAAAACTTAATCTGTCTTTCCAAACGACCACCGAACAAAATAATAATCCGACATCCGACAAGCCGCAACCGACGACGAAAAAAGTGAGTCTAACAATATCAAAAGAAAATCCTACATCGATTTCCGGACAACAAACAAATATTTCTCAACCGATACAATCGAAAACATTTGAACTGTCTTTTCAGACAGGTAAAGATCAAAACAATGCTCAATTTAATCGATCTCACGCAACTACAGCCCAATCGGCTACCGGATTGAATAATATTCCGACAGGACAATCTTACAACCCTCAGCCACAAACAAATAACTCTCAACCAGTACAATCCAAAACATATAATCTGTCTTTTCAGACAGCTAAAGAACAAAACAATAGTCAATTTAATCCAGCCAACGCAACTCAAATGCCACCGAAAGAGAATCTAATGACTTCCCAGCAGACTAGCGGATTGAATAATAGTCCGGCGGGACAACCTTACAACTCCCAGTCACAAACAAAAACAGAATTCCAGTCGACAAGCCAAACAAACCAACAACCTCACACACCTGATGAAAATACAACAAATGAAAGAAGGAGAAGAAATAAGAATATAAATGTCGATTGCTGTTGTGACGAAAGCTGTTGTCTTTACAACTGCTGTTGCTGTGAGGCGATAAGCAACTGCTTTAAAAGTTGTTTCGACGGTATAGCATCATGTTTTTCCGCTATGTGCTGTTGTTGCAGCAGTGGAGAGAGTGGTGGTGACGGCGACGGGGACTGCTGTACGTGTGCAGATGGTTGCTGTGATGAAGACTGTTGCACTTGTTGCGCAGATGCATGTTGCGGTTGCTGCGAAGATTTCGATTGGGGAGAATGCTGTGAAAACTTTTGGGTTTCTTTGTTTAGTTGTGGTGGTGAATAATATGAAATATTTTGTGATAAAGTAATTTAAATTAAGTACATAATGTGAAATACCTAATGTAGCAGATATTAAAATAAACGTTTACCAGAATATGAAAATGGGATAATATTTAACGATTTAAGTACATAAAAATATAGTTTCTCTAATAAAAAGTATATTCATAAATATTTTTGGTTCAGGAATTTTTCACTTTGTGGTTAAAGAGTTCCCGTGTAATGTATGGTACCTTAATTAGAAAATTTCACAGGTTTTAAAGAGCTACTGAAAAGCTGCTTTAAATTGGGATTTTTATCTATAGGTATATTTTAAAGAGGTGAAGATTTTTTTTCAAGTTCCATAATACTCGGGTGACATACGCTATAATAACATGGGCCAAGTTGCAGTAAACAGCTAGTTTAAAATAAACGACTTCACTCTGTGTAACATTTGAGAGAAGAGTAAATATGAAAATGTCTTAAGTCGAGCAAATATTTTTAGTGATAGTAAGAATTATCACTTGAGAATTCTCGCTTCATTCAAATTTTTGGATGATTAAAAAAAATTTGCTTACGGCCAATTTCTTAACTGAGAAAAGTACAAATCTCAACTGATTTTTTACGTTTTACATGGCAAACAGCCAGTTGCACAAACGTCCATTATTTTCCTCATTAGTTTAAAGCAACATTACCCAGACTAGTTTGACATTCATTAGAGCTTAAAGGCGTCATTAAACCTTAATGGACGTTTGTGCAACTGACCGATAAAGTCCTAGTTTTATCAAACTGCTAACAACTAAACATTTATGACGTTTTCTCAAGTAACGAGGAAGTATTTAAAAAAACAAAACTCTAAAATAGCAGCACCTCACTAAAAGGCGACTCTAGCAAAAGTTGAGTTTGCAGGTAACGAATGGACCAAAGATATAGATTTCTGTTCCTTTTAACTAACATATTAAAAAAAAAGAAATTTGCAAAGTTCGAAACTAAGATATCAATACAAATACGAAAAAGCACAAATAGAATATGAGTTTTAAAAATTAATTGACTTTCAATTATATGAAAGAAAACCGGAAGGGTTGTCATGAAGAAAGTACCGTAGCGTCATTTAATTTGATCTCGTCTCGTCTCGTCGTGACCACGGCCAGTGAAACATATTAAACGAAACTGGCCGAAACGTAATCGCGTCTAATATCCGTTATTATAAGAGTGTAATGATGCAGCGCGATAGTTTAAAAGTGAATATCTAGTTTGATTTCGGGAAATGCCAGGTTATATTATTGGGTAGCTCGACAAGTGTACGATAGTATTTTGATTCTATTATATTACCCTTTGTTCTACTTAGCCATAAATCGTAATGGATCTGGTTCTATTTTTTGATTTCAATTTAAACCGGCAGGCCTAAGTAGCAAGTGTATGTGATTTTTTTATTTTATTTTATATATTATAATAAGAACAAAAGCAAAATTTCTCTGTTGAACACTTTTGAGTTTTAATAATTGCCTCGCCCGTGTTCATGATCCTTCGAGTCGGATTTAACTTAGCAAAAGTCGTGAAAGTAATTAAAATTGTCAATTCTTTACATATTAAGTACTCTTTGAGAATGAAAATCGTTAATTTATATTGTCATTGTGTAAATTTCAATTTTTCACTATTGTTTGTAAGTAATTGGTTAAGTACCTTTGATAACCATATTCTTAAACGCACTAAATAGGAAATATTTAATTTCTGCGTTAAAAATGTTTTCTTTATATAAACTTGCATGTGAAATTGTACATTCATATTCAGTAATAACAATTTTTTTTTTTCATTAAAATCTTAGTCACTCTTGTGTTTTTAATTTTTAAACATAAAACTACTCCGGGTTTTACATACTGTTTTAGACAATTGTTGTGTAGCTTTATAATTCTATTCCGTAACGCAACTTACTATTAGATAGGCTGTCTATATTTTGAGTTAAAAATGTAAATTATATCTGTTTATTTATTCTTTATTGTAAAAAAACAAATCACAAAAGGCGTACTTAATCCCTAAGGCATTCTCTACCAGTCAACCTGAAGAGATGTTGGAGATCAGTTATAAGGTGAGAAGAATGAAAAAAGTAAAATAGATTAATAAATTAATAAACATACAGCTTTCGCCAGCGGCTTCGCTCGCATGGTCCCTAAAGAAATGTTTAGTGGGATAATAAGTCCCCTACCCCTATTTGTATACCAAATTTCATCAAAATCCGTTCAGTAGTTTCAGCTTGATTTACGGACAATCATCCAAACAAAGAAACTTTCACATCTATAATATTAGTAGGATATAAAATAATTCATAATCCATATAGGTATAAAATAAATTACAAAATGTGAATGAAATTTTACATACTAAGATAGTGCTTACGGAACCAATCTCTTAAATACCATTATACTTTTAGTAGTAGGCGAATAGCAGTAACGGGTAAAAGATTTTGTAACAAAGACAGTATGATGAAGGGGAGTTTGGAGAATGACAACTCACAGGTTTAATCTATTTCTGTGGGTTTATGCGTTGATAAACAGCCAGCCATCCGAGTTGTTTCCTTTAGTCGGAGATATCGTATTTACGAAAGCCGTATATGAACGAATAGCATTATAAAATAAACGATCCAATTTGTCGAGAAGATATTGAGTAGTGTCAGTATAGCAGACGTCAACGTTATCGAGAATGTTTAATACAAGAGCCTGTACTAATGCAATTTTAGTGCTGGAGGGAGATAAAATTTTAGTCTAAAAGGGGACCTAAGCGTATAATCTTACGACACTCCTCTCCCATCTGTACTTTCCAACTGCGAGTACAGTTAATGAGCAGGCCCAGGTTCTTAACATAAGACAGAAACGGAATAAGTTCATCTTTGTATAGTAATTGGGTAACAGTGCTCGGATCAATAGCGGCCAAATAACGGGACCTACTGATAATAACGATTTGGTACTTAGATGTGTTTACAGCCAGCCAGCCAGGGCGGTGGCGGCAGTTATCAAACGCGAGCACCCCGTGGGCGACTTCTTTTTAGAACATTTTGTTTCAACCAGGCCCGTCTTTACCCATGGTGCGGGGGATGCAACGCAAGATCACCGGGAAATTCCCTGATTAAGACGCCTGAAATGGCGTAATTGATATTGTTTTTGTCGGCTTGACTATATATCTGGAGACTGTCTGCATATAAATGATAACATGTAGGGGAGACTGAGGACACTTGATCCTTACGGGAGACTAGATACAATGGATTTCCAGAGCTTCTGTAAACACTATATAATTTTAGACTGGCAAAATTTGTAGTCTTTGGGTCATTCTAAAGTTAGCATTCCTGTTAAATTTGAGAGTTGTGCAAATGACAGATGTTTATGTGTTTCGTGTTGCAGAAAAATATTTTTTGTATGTTTTTACTTTGATTAAATAATTGATTAGTAAATTTATTTTGGATATGTATCACTTTTAAACTAGTCATTATCTATGTGAGTAAACATCTGTTTTATACAAAAGTGTTAATATTGGTAGATTTTTGTAAAATCTTTTTTTATAACCTCAACATACCTAGGGCACACACATGGTACACTTTCTTATGGGAGATATGATCCCACCGGATCAATGTCTCCTAACTTTTTTTTAATATAATTTTAGGATTAAACATGTATATACAAAGAAATATCATTACATGTACCCAAAGCCACTAGCTTGTCTCGCGCCACAGCTTTTAACAGACACAACGTTAAAAATTTCTTTAAAAATTTGAAAAGCTTATTGCAGCGCTATAATTTTGGTCCCGACAAACTTTGGAACGTAGACGAAACTGGTATTACTATAGTTCATAAGCCAAAAAAAATGTAGCATGTACCTCGTGTGTTTATAAGTTTCAAGAAAAAACTTTTTACTGAAAAATAAAACAAAATGTTACTGGCTGTTATTTTTTTTTTACCGATTTTGAATTTGAAATGTTAACTTTTAGTTTATTTGTATCGCAAATTTAATTGTTTGTTGATGGGGGTACGAAACAATTATGTCCAACTGTCATTTTACTATTTAAGGCGGTAAAAAACCGATGCAGATTTTCCCCGTGCTAAAAGTTTTCCCGTGAGCCAAGAGGCTATTATTTCGCGCGTTTCAGTGAACAGAATACTGAAATATGATCTAAAGGTTGTTGAGGTTGTTGTTAAGAGGCCTATAGCCATAGGAAAGTTTACTTTTTAAACGATTGCCTTGGTCAGTTACGACGCAAACGCTTTCCATTACTGCTGAGGAGACACGATGCCAGGAAGATACTCTTCACTGACGAGAAAATTTTTACTGTCAAAGAAAAGTCCAACCGATAAAACAATAAAATGTACGCTAAAATAAGCAAGGATGTGCCAGCTTCTGCACGGAATGTCTCGCGCACTCATCACCCGGCTAGTGTGATGGTATGGTGGGGAGTTTTGTATAAATGCTATAGGTACCTTCCACCATTTACTACTAAGGAAATAAATCAATGATATTGAAATAAAAATAATAATTTTTTTACATATTCATTCATTTTCTTCTGTATTGGCATCATATGATCCTATATGTGGGAGACTTGTTCCTGCCAGGATCAAGTGTTCCACATAGTGGGGATCAAGTCAGACATATATATGGGACACTTGATATCATTTTCTGTACGAAGTTTTCGTACGCTGGTTATTTAATTTTTATACCGATATCATTAGCTACTATACTTAGTATAGCTAATAAAATTTCACGTATTTTAGACAAAAATAATTAAAATCGGATCAATATTGACAAAATAAGGGCTAAAAAACAAAAGAGGGGATCAAGTGTCGCAATCTCCCCTACGAAGTCGAGCAGTTTTTATTATATTGGCATTTGGCAGTTTTTACCATCTCATTGTAACGATTCCTGGCAGATTTAAAGGCGGCCCAGTAAAGATCAGTACATATTTCGAAAGCACTTGTTACGCTTCTTCATGGCCATCTGTACTCCAGAGGTAATCCATGGAGCAGGTGGCGTTTCAATTTTATTTGATCAATTGACATTCACAAGTCATTATATTAAATGATATTTGTAAAAGTAGGTATTTCTTTCGGCTGTTGGGTACATTGCCTGTTTATTAATGAAAATACGCTCATAAGTAGTAGTAGCGAAAAACAATAAGCTTGAAAACTTTGTGGGCGCAAAGCATTTTTACCTGTTGGGTCTCGGGAAGCTCAATGATTCAGTCGCCCGGATTGCGAAAGGTTGTAGATTCGATTTCCATTTCATCTTGGGATATCTAGGGCTGGTTGGTAGATTTTTATGTGTCTATATTTTTAAAGTCTCTTGCGTGTTTTTCCTGCCCGTGACAATGAGACTTCAACAAAATGGACGTATAAGGTAGGTAACCATTTTTTTTTTGTTACAGAACCCTGAAAATCCGAGCGTATGAAAATAAGAAACCCGTTAAAAAATAATAATGATATATATTTTTGATATTACGATATATATTTTTAATTAATAAAATATATATTAATGTGGCATTCTGAATGCATATAATATATTAAATAAATACATAAGACAATATATTTACGATGAGGATTTCAAAGAGGCTATTACGCCGGTTTCAAGGTGTCTCCATCTTTGAGGGCCCGGTTTTGATTGAATATGTTTTTCCTTATACACTTATCTTGTTTTACTGTTTACAAATTTCATCTATGTTTTTGGTTGTTTTAGTTAACTGCATTATTAAAATTAGACTTTTACAAAATGTCGAATTTAGACAAATAATGCTATTTCGAAAATGTTTGATTAAATACTATATAAATTATTAAAAACATTGATGAAAAACAATAAATAGTTTTTGTTAGGCTGTCACTTCATATATTATATACCATTGTTGTTTACGAGTCTTAATATTTATAAAGTATTGTTAGAGATGAATTCTGTCATAGAAAAATAATGAGAAAGAAGAAAAGTAAAAAAAAACTGATTTGGTACAAATTTTATTATTAAAAGAAATTTGGTCTAACCGCCACTATTTTGATATGCATCAACATGAAATAAAAATTATGTGTTTACATATTAACAACATATTTTTCTTTCTTAACAACTACAAACAATTGAGGAACAGCTCTATTTCGAATTAATAAAATAAATCTATAAAATGAAGCATGATAACATTATAATGTATTTGATTGAATGAACAATAAGCAATACAAATATAAGATATTTAAAAAAATATCATTTCTAGATCAAATTTAAGTTATGATAACAGGCGAACCTAAATGAATATATAAGAGTAGATAGGAGTATATTTCTTAGATTAAATATGACTGCAGACCAATATTAAAACCAATCCAAAATAAATTCAATATTTTTTTGTTAAGTCTGTAGTTTAGTTAAGAGTGGTACAGTCAAGAGCATGTCAGAATATACAAATCTATTAAAAATCTCTACAAAAATAGTGTGAGGATTGCTGACAAGAACCACTGTTTTAATTTCTATGTTTTAAACCATTCAAATTAATTACATAATAAATTGTTTTAATACTAAGATACTTATCAATATTTTAAATTATTTCCTCATAATTAGTTAAATAAATTCGATTAAATTGGCACTTTAAGAATTTTTAGTATTGTGTTATACAATAGATATAAAAATATAATTAGTTTTATATCATAAGTATATGAGAACTAGCATTCTTTTAAATAATACTAAAAATATCTAAATAAAATTATTAGTTATAATAAGCTTTTAACAATGTATACTTAAGACACTTAAAGTTTAACACTTAGATTTATTGAGGTATAACTATTATAAAATTCTTCAATAGCAAAAATAGTAAAACATGATAAAATATTAGTATACACTTTTGCTTTGTAAAAATTGAGTTATCTAAAAACAAGCACATTCCTACTTCAATAATAGCCAATATATATATATATATTTTTTGTATTATTAACCAAAACAATCACCACAGTCACAGCAATCACCACAGTCACAGTCTCCACAGTCACAATCACCACAGTCGCAGTCACAACAGTCATTACAATTGCAGCAGTCATTTCCGCAACATTCACTGCAACAACTGCTATCTGCAACTGGAGCTATATTATCAGTGTTATTGTCATTGCAATTACATAAACAACTTCCACATTTCTCACAACAACTTTCAGTGCATCGGCCACATCCAACTAAGCAATCTGAAATCATTCTACAGCAAAAATATTGAAACAAAAAATTGTCTTCTCCAACGAAAAAACAACAGTCTGGATCAACATAACCTGAACGTCTTTCAGGTCTCTTTTTATTTTTCTGTGCTGCTTCTTCGTCATCGGTGTTGAGATTCATTTCTTCAGAGTCGGCAGTATTAAAATCGTTATCGTTCTCCTCATTCTTAATCGGATTATCAGTCTCCACTGGATCGTAATTATCATTTGAAGTACGTTGGGGTTGAGTTGTTATGACATCAGACATTTTGTATTTACTAAAATACTAGTATTTTCCTTGTACACTCTAGCGAATTGATCTAATATTTTAACCCTAGTTACAAGATAATGAGTTAATGCCTGATGACCATACGGTAGGTTCAATAAATTCATTTAATTTCATGGATTTGATAAATCGTCGTGTAAGTAATTTAGAAAACATTAAAAACTCATTATTGAGGATTTTTTTTACTAACAGCAGTATTTTAACATTTTTTCCGACGGCACTGATTTTATTTTATTTAAAACAATTTTCAATATCCATAGTAAGTTTATAATCGAAGAAAAATATTACAGGAAGACAAAGAAAAACTGGACCTAAACTTTTGTTCTAAAAATATGGGTGGTGGCATATTGTTGTTAATCTGTGATATTGGTTAAAAATAATTTGTGGTCACTGTTGGTGTTGGTTCCAAAAATTATACAAAAACAACAACTAGTGATGCGACTAGAGCCCTTTGCTCCTCGAAGCGCTTGAGTGACTTTGTCAAACTTTTACTCGAGTTAATAAAATTTTCGCTTCTCTACTTTATTTACCTATGCCGTTTAAACCCGTAAAACTATTAATAAAAAAAAATCTATATTGCAATGCCACTTTTATACTTTGTTGATTAATCAAATTTTATCATAAATATACTATCAACACAACTTCAGATTATTTGCAATTTCTACTCGAGTGAGGTAATAAAATGGCTCAAGCGATTCGAGTACCTAACAAAATCCTATGTAACTCGGTTTATTTTTCTTTTTTTCGAGGCCTAGATCAATTAACCACGCTGCCTTATCCTTAATATTTAATTTTTTTTTTACTTTAAATGACGTTTTTTAATGCCCTTATAACTTTAAATCAAATATTTTATAGGTTCTTAATTAGCACGAGCTTGCTGGCGTCATAGGCCATTTGTATGTTTTTAAAAGTGTTTATATAAAGATAATTCGCTTTATTTTAAATTTTGGGCACTAATTTAGTATGTAGTTCGTATTTCTCGAAAGACATGCTCTACTGTTCAATGTGCTGTATAGAACTTGTATCAAACTGCTTTTTTCTCTCTGATTTATTTCACACAGAGAAGTCTTATTGGAATGTGACTTAATTAGATTATGAAGTCTATTTCCATTACAATATCAGGAATAACAAGATTTATATTTTTCTTACTGATTAATATGCAGGTTGACAAATCAATGTACAATAATAACGATTTAGCTCTAGATAATATTTTTTAATTATGAACTGTGAGATGGTCATTTAAACAAGCGTACTGACTCAGTGAAATCCGGTTTAATATCGTTGATGAAGAGTTCTTTACGAGCCCGAACGGCAGCCACAAGATCTTCTTTCTTAGATAGATAGATAAAAATTTTATTTCTCAGCAACACACAATTACATCACTTACTAAACATTGTTAAAAGAAACAACAATTAGCTTAGGTGTTCCAGTCTGTTGCGAAAGAATTCTAGCAATATAAATAATATCCTCTTTTTAACCGAATAACCAACATAATTGGCAATTTTCATAGAGACTATATATGAATTTTCATTCTGTTTCTGCGGGATTCCCTTGATCTCAACATTACTTGCGCGCTGCCACTGATCCCTATCACGCAAATGTTGCCTAATCTCCTTTATATTGTCCTGTAACTTTAAAATAATAACAATTCTCCCCTCAACTGTTTTCACTCTATTTTCAATGGCCCTCGCAGTTTCGGTGAAATTCTTAATTGAATTATGAGCAAACTAAATAGACTTCTGCATATTAGCCAGATCATTTTTGATAGATTTCACATCCCCTAATAGCGTTTTCAAGGGTACTAACTGCTCCATAATGTTATTAAGTTTGTCCTGCAAGTCAAACTGAAGTGGCGATGTTGGTAATGTGGAGACTCCACTTTTACATTCCGGACATCTCCACGTGTATTTCCGATCTCCAAGTTTACGGAATCCTGCTTCAGTGATTCCCGCACATGCAAAATCAAAATGACGCTTGCATATACTACACGTCGCACCATCTGATGAATCAATATTACATATTGCACAGGAAAATGTTCCCCTATAATAACTATTTATTAGTTGATCAGTCCTGGAATTAGACCAACCACCAGTAAGCAACCAACTTCAACCACTCTCGAACCGAGACTGAACCGAGAATAATAATAATAATTGTTTATTTGCCTTAAACATGGTATAAAGGTGTTAAAGTTGTACAATATCCTCATGTTTCGCTATTTTTTAATAGCATGCAAAAACAGTATAATGGAATCTAATACAGCGAGAATGAAACATAACCTAAACAATAATCACAATTGACAATATTATTCTACGAACCAAAAGAGCACATACGCACCGTACGAAATTTCATAACTGAAGATCAGTTATGAGTTATAAAAAAACTTAATTTTGAAAGGACAACTTATTTGCACCTTGTACTTTGTACAAACGTCATTCTAACCAGAAGTCATGTTATTTTGTACGAGTACCTAGTATATTTGATACATATTGGGTAATTATATAGATAACAAACAGATTTTTGTTATAATTATCGTTTTTTATACCTTTGTTGCTGATTAATAAACCCTATTCATTCAAAGTCTTTGTTGCTGTAAATGCAACAAAACTTTGGCAAACGTAAGGTTGATAGTGTTCGTTGCTACTTGATGATGGAGACAACTGACCTGGGAGGCTAAAGGATAATTTTCTCCCTCCGCAGTAGAACTCCAATTATCCGAATTAATGGGGACCGGGACCCATTCGGATAATCAAATATTCGGATAATCGGATTTTTTAAAAAAAAATTGCCATTGGAGAGAATAAAAGCTACGTTTTGATATTGCACTATTTTTTTATTGAATTAAATGAAAGAAACATGAAATTTTCACATGTTTTAAATATAAATAAAATGTACTTATGTACAAGTTTAGAAATAAAAATCATTGTTTTTTAAACATCTCCGTCAATGTAAGCTGTTTTGCGGTCTTCAACCGTTTTCGGGCAGCCAGGTCACGCATTCGCTTGACGGTGAGCAGTTGCAAGTGGTCACACTCGGGCTGACGCTCCATCCACTTCAAAGCAGTCTCGAGGCCGGCAAATGCTTCACTAGCTGATGGTCCAGCGTCTACTTCAACATCAGCAGAAAGTTCTTCTTCCACTTCCACTTCAACATCTTCTCTCACACTTACAACAATTTCATCGTCATTGAGAATTTGAAAACCAGGGTCAGACGTGTCACAAGCCATCCACTCTCCTACATCTTCAGCACTTACTTCTGTACAACCAGGAATTTTTACAATCATTTTTCTTATTTCCTCTAGTGACAACGCATCTTTATCATCATCATCCTCTCCATATTCTTGTTTCTCATTTTCTTCAGATTCTTTTTTTTTGTTCTTCTCAGACGGTAGGCCTTTCAGTTTATTCCACGCACGTCTTAGCGTCACTGCCGTAACCAAACTCCAAGCTTCCGCTACCATGTAACAGCAGTCCTTTAAATTTATTTTGCTATGATTTGCCAAAACCAATTCTTCATCTTCAGCACCTTCGTTCAGCAGTTTTCTCAGCAGTTGCCTTCTGTAATGGCGCTTCATTGTTTCAATAACAGACTGGTCCATGGGTTGCAGCAAACTTGTAACATTGGGAGGCAAAAACGTCGTTTTGAACTGCCCATTCTCTCTTTCCAACAGTTCTGCTGTAGGATGAGTGGGTGCGTTATCAACAATTAAAAGCACCTTACTGCCTTCTTTTCCCACCGATTTTTGGTGCTTTTTCACTTCAGGAATAAACACTTCATCATACCATTCGGTAAACAAAGCTGCAGTCATCCAGGCCTTGGGTTGACTTTTGTAGAAGAGTGGAAGTTTTTTTACGTTTTTAAATGCTCTTGGATTTCTTGATTTTCCTATCAAAAGAAGTGGCAGTTTATGATTTCCAGTGGAGTTGGCACAGTTAAGCACTGTAACACGTTCTTTACTGACCTTATGTCCAGGGGCACTAGATTCCCTTTTAGAAGCCAAAGTGGTTTTTGGTAATGCTTTCCAAACAAGGCCAGTTTCATCGGCATTATAAACAAACTCCGGATCATAGGATTCTGATGCAGTTTTAAATTTTTCAATAAAATTTTCAGCAGCTGCAGAGTCTGCTGAAAGCTTCTCACCAGCCAAATCTAACTCGCGTACACCATGCCTGAATTTAAAATTCCTTAGCCAGCCGTTACTAGCCTTAAAAGATGAATAACCAAGCTTTTCTGCAAAGATTTTGGCTTTTTCACAAAGGATTGGACCTGAAATCGGATTTCCCATAGAACGTTGCTGCAAAAACCATTTAAACACGGCATCTTCCAAATTTTTGTTGGTTGCTGTCTTCATTGTTTTCCTGGAGGAACTTCCATCTTCATTTTCAAGCACCGAAACAAAGTTTAAAAGTGTTGACTTACTGTTTTTAATGTCAGAAATTGTTGCTTGTCCAACACCATAAATCTCAGACAACTTCTTACCCGTTACACCTTTATCGAGTTGCTCTATAATTTTCAGTTTGTCCGCTAACGATAGCACAACACGTTTTCTTTTCGAAGCCATGGTATAAAAACAATACAGTATTGTACACGCACAAACAAAAGTAAGCCGTAGCGAAAGAGTAGCGTCCTCGAGCAAGGTCAATAGCACACTGGCTAATCAAAACAAACAATGACAGGTGCGCCGTGACTGCAATGCGCCGGAACTTGTCTTAACTTGCCGTTGTGCCTACATACGCGGGGGGAAGTCAGTGTAGGCACAACGGCAAGTTAAGACAAGTCAAGTCAAGACTTGACGCGCAAACACTGGCTTCGCGGGGGGGAGAATAATAGCGCACTTAGACTTTTTTTGGACAATTTTTTGTGATTCGGATAATCGGCGATTCGGATAGTCGGAGTTCGGAGCCCGGGGACCGCGATCCAACCAATGTAGGTTGGACGTTCTATTTATGTTAATTGGAAATGAAACTTATTCTGTGCGATGTAGGTTTCTTTGTTCTAAATGCCTTGTAGTTATTAATTTATGTTTGTATTGGTACAGCGCCATCTCGTTACTTGCTGTTGAAACTTTTCTAGCTATTGATTGTTGTGGCGATGTTAGTGCGATGAATTAGATGTCGCTACGTATCAGTCGCCACAAAACTAACCTATTTGTTATTGTTTTCAGAACTTTTCTTAAATATTATAATAAAAAATGCTATCTAGACCTTCTATGGCATCAGTATGTTATTTATAAAAACAATTTCACGGTAATATTATTGTATACCGTAGCTAAATGCTACTTTAATAATTTCACATCATTAAATCTATCGATATCCGTAACTTTTAAAAAACCTTCTCCATGCTCACTTCCATTACGTTAGTTTCCA